TTCATATATTTCCAAGACTAAGCGATTCACCGAGCAGTTGGATTGTGTAATAATTAGTCACTTTCATTTAGATCATTGCGGTAATTTACTTTTAAAATATTTTTTCTTTTCTTACAATCAATCAGGCTTATTAAATTTTAATAATTCGATTTTTTTAGGAGCACTTCCATTTTTTACTGAAATGTGCGGATATGGGGGTCCTATATATATGACACATCCAACCAAGGCTATTTGCCCGATTCTACTCGAAGATTATCGAAAGATCACAGTAGAAAGAAAAGGTGAAACTAATTTTTTCACATCGCAAATGATTAAAAATTGTATGAAAAAAGTCACTGCTGTCAACCTTCACCAGACTATCAAAGTTAATAATGACGATGATTTGGAAATTAAAGCGTATTATGCCGGTCACGTTCTAGGCGCAGCTATGTTTTACGTACGAGTTGGTACACAATCAGTTGTTTATACAGGAGATTACAACATGACACCAGATCGACATCTCGGTGCAGCGTGGATAGACAAGGTTCAACCAGATCTTTTGATTACAGAATCAACATATGCTACAACTATTCGTGATTCTAAGAGATCACGTGAAAGAGATTTCTTAAAAAAAGTTCATGACTGCGTCTCACAAGGTGGCAAGGTTCTCATACCCGTCTTTGCTTTAGGTCGAGCTCAAGAGCTTTGTATATTAATAGAAACATATTGGGAGAGAAATAATCTTAACGTTCCAGTTTATTTCTCAGCTGGTATGACAGAAAAAGCAAATGATTATTATAAACTTTTTATTAATTGGACCAATGAAAAAATTAAAAATACATTTGTCAATCGTAATATGTTTGACTTTAAACATATAAAGCCTTGGGATAGACAATACGTAGACCTGCCTGGAGCAGCAGTGTTATTTGCAACACCAGGGATGTTACATATTGGAACGTCTTTAGAAGTTTTCAAGAAATGGGCACCATTTCCTGAAAATATGGTTATAATGCCTGGATTTTGTGTTGCAGGTACCGTTGGAGCCAAAGTTCTTAATGGAGATAAAGAAATACAAGTTGATGCATATAATAAAGTTCAAGTTAACTTGCAAGTAAAGAATTTGTCATTTAGCGCACACGCAGATGCTAAAGGGATTATGCAATTAATAAAGCAATGCGCACCGAAAAATGTGATGCTTGTGCACGGAGAAAAAGCGAAGATGGAGTTTTTGCAAGATAAGATTAGACGTGAATGTCGGGTGCCATGCACATGTCCAGCGAATGGAGAAACAATTACAATTGAAACGACACTTTCTATACCAGTCGATATATCAATGGATTTACTTAAACGACATCTAAATGCGCAAAAATTTTCATTACCATTACCTGGAGAAAGAATTGATTTAACAAAGATTACACCTGTAGACGAAATACCCATTCAAGGAGTTCTGGTAATGGAGCCTGATAGAATTCCACGCTTAATAGATGTTGAAGAAGCTATTCGTGAAGCACGATTGCCCATTCTTAATATAGATTTCAAGATGTTTAAAACATTTGATCCGAGTCAATTTAAAGACAAGATTATGGTAACGAATTTAGAGGGAACAGACATACGAGTTCAGGTATTAGAACATGTATATGAAGTTGTGAATAAGGCAATCAATAAGAATATACCAGGTATTGAATTTCGTAAAGGGGCATTGGAAATTAAGCTAAGAAGTGTTAAAGTGAGCGTACCAGAAATGACTAAAGATGAACTCAAAAATGCATTACGCATTTCTTGGAATTCTAAAGATCAGAATTTAGCAGACTTTATAATCTCTATTATGGATGACATCCTTCCTGACATGCCAGGTTTATGACTTTCTGGGAAGTTAATATGCAATAATATGCGTTTTTTTTTATATTGAAATTTTTTTAATTGTCTGTAATAATTTTTATAATTATGCATAATTATATTTTTAATTATGCTTGTAATCTATATCTATATTATAAACATTTAGATGTTCAATCCGTCTCGCATCATGTGATTTATTTGTATCACACTACCCGTTGTGTCGAAACATCTAGTTAGTAATTATGTTCGTAATTATGTTACGAAAATATGAAATAAAAATATAAATATAGAAAAGTGAACGACAAAATGATAATTAATTTTGATGTACGATTATGGGAGGCAAGAATTTCTATTCATAATCGGAATTTTATTTAATTATATTAAATATTTATCAATTTAAAATATGTGACACCATTTATATTCTTAAAAAAGCGGTTAAAAATATGTAACGCAAATTTTCTCATGAGTCAATCACGCGACACAATTGGTAGACTTTTTGTTAATATGTGATGTTATGTATCACCTTAACATATGTACAATGATATAGGATACATATTTATGTACGACATTTATTTATAGTATGCAAATTCAAATTGTCACCAGAACAGATTTCCACAGAAGGATAATCTTTTACAAGCACAGGATTCCTATCGTCGGTCATTGCATATGCACCATCAAGTACATACAGCAATGTCATTTTCCTCCACGTTTGTTTTTGCAAATACGTCTATAATTGGGTTTTTGGCAAATAATTCTTTGACCCTGGGAAGAATCGTTATTTATTTGTTTATTTATTTGTTAGTTATATATTGTTATTAAGGTGAGAATGACTCATTATTCACGTTATTGGACCTTTCAGTTTGATAATCAAAATTATAAATTCTAGCAATCCTTTCTTGATACGGTCCTTTTTTCGACCGAAACGAATTTTCATGGGAATCTTCTCGCGTCGTGGTTCAAAATTGTACCATTTTCACACAAAGATAAGTAATCCTATCTGATTTTCGCGATTCTTATCTAATGATGGTTCTTACAAACGCAAACTCTCTTTTCTTTTTTAGAATTTCGTCTTTTTCTTTCTTCTACCGTTACTACGTATCGGTATTGGGATTATTGGGGTACTGGGCTGTGCATAACTATTAGTCTAATATCTTGGTTGTACAAGCAATCTTATGAATACATACTATGCGTACAATTTTACAATGACAATAAAATCCATTGTAAACAATATAAATAAGTGAAACTTACTACGTATCATCGTCTTTGTGTTATATCTTTACTTAATTTTTATAAAGAATCTCAAATTAGGTGAGTTAAATTCCATACATATCTCGTTGTATTGATATTTGATATATATATTTTTATATTTTATATATATATATATTTATTATATGGCGCGTGGATGGACTGGTATAACGCAATGTGTATAAATTTAAGAATGCCGTTGTAAATAAATTATAGATTACTCTTTTTATGTACCTGTTGTGTAGTGCGCCTTTTTGCCTTGCTTTTTTTGTTTTTCCCATTTTCCTTTGGGCTTTGTTGATTGGTTACAAAGTTTTGGATAGGTTTTATAAATAGGAGACTTTAACCTTCTCTTGGTTCAGTTTGGTTTCTCTCCAATCAAATTTGCGCCTTTGATTCTTGGGGGACCAAAGCAAAAAAACAAGCTCACACATCGAGTTATTGCCCTCTTTATTGTTGTGTGTCGCTCCTCACCTTGTCCTAACCCGCCAACCCTCAAAACACACCGCATTGTAAAAAAACAAAAAAAAAAAAACAAAAAAATAAACAAGAAATTTTTCTTCCTTTTTTCTTAACAAAAGAAAAAGCTCCTCGCCAAACTCGAGTTTTTCTCACCTTTTGGTTTAGTTTGACCTATTTCGGATTTCATATTTTCGTCGGTACTTTTTCCGTTTTTTTTTTAACTATTTTGAACTTACTGCTCGAGCTCTTTGACCTCGTCTACCACCTACTATCTTACTGTCACGTCGGATTTTCAGAGATTGTCGTGAACAATTTACAGTAAGATGATAGAATCAAAGATTATCAAAGTTGATATAATTGATATAATCGTTATAAAGATATCATTTGATATATGTGACTTGAATTTTATACCCTTATGTCACTATCGATTGTTTCTTTTGACAGTGACGCGTCACTTTCCGAATTATAGCTTATTATACACACGTATAATGAAGTATATATATCAGCGTACTAATCTCTCTTTTCTTTAATTTCGGTACTACTTCTCTTTCGAACACCATACTTGCGTGCAAAATCCTTTAGTGCTAAACGGAATATCCGATCAAGCAACAACGGTTAAAAAGCACTTGTTTAAAACAGAGTAAAGCGTCCCTCCACTCCTTTGGTTGACACTTTCTGTGAGCAATTAAAATAAGTTTGCGGGACTCTAGCGTGCAACGGATAAAAACACAACAGGACATCAGTTTTTTGCTTCCTTTCTCACATAGCGCAAGCCTGATTATCAACTTCCTTCTCAAAAAAGCTTTCTGGTTCGGCGCTAATTTATTATTATTAAATATTATTATTATTTTTGTTAAGAACCCTTGTTTGTGTTCCAACGTCTTTTTTTTATTTTCATTTTTTTTTTGCTTAAAGCAGACACATAATGTTCTAAACTTATTCCGCATTCCGAACAGTATCTCATAGTTGCTCTGTTTAGCAGTTCAACAAAAAATCGAGTGCTACGCCTTTTTTAGTTATGCAAGCAATCCCACTCTTTTTTCTAAACAAATTTGACCAATATCGGTATCGTGCGTAAAACAACAATTCTTTTCAAATCACGATTCCTCTTATTTTTTTTTTTTTTTTTTTTTCCTTGCTGTTTGCATTACCAACCGTCTCATTATTGTATCATCTATCTTTCTTCTACCTTTTAAGAGACTCATTGCGTCTTTTAATTTGTAATATAGCCTTTTATACATATATATATTCTTTCCCTTTATTTTATTATTATTATCATCCTTTTTTTTTTTTTTTTATATATATACAAAACTCACATAATTGCATCATTAACTGACATTTGTCAGTATGGCGTTTTAAATAGGAACTTTGTACAAAAAGATGACCTTATTTTCATTCAACAATACAGACATCAAACCCATCGCGTTATCAACGTATTTGGAAACTAGTTTGCTAGTTGACCATCGTTCCCACAACAAATCAATCAACTATTCAAATCAAAACATCGCTTGGTATCTACTTTACATCTCTCCTCATCGGCGGCGAAAGTCGGTCGAACTATATTTAAAAAATATATATTCCTTGAGTTTAATTTCTATTCCTTGTCCTTGAAACATTTGCCAGATTTGTTTCCCTTATTTCTAAAAAAAAATATATATATATATAAAAGAAAATAGCCAAGCTCAAGCCGGTTCTTGAAGAAAAAAA